TCCCAGCCGGCCTTGGGAAATCTCAAATCCCCTGCCTTCACCTGGGAGAAAGAAAGGGGAACGTGAACATGGCCCGGGGTATTCCCTATTTTCAGAAATCCTGGGGGAAATGATGCACTGCCTTCAATAAGAACAACATTGTGCTGAGGGGAAAGTCCGTGCTACTATAAGGCTCACTATGCATTGACGGGAATTCTGATACCTATTGTTTTAAAACCATCATCAAGAAAAATTTCATTCAGATTATAGAACTGGCTTTGGAGTACTTACTATGCAGCAGCTACTTTATTGGAGCTGCAGCAGTTACAGAGGTGGCTACGACACGGTCCCTGCATTAGTTTAGTATCCAGAGAGGGGGACAGGATTAGAGCTATGAAGAGGGACAAAGAAAGGCAGAGGGGAGGGGCTCTCTGTCCCAGGCTGTAGAGTCAGGGGCCCATTGAGTGGGTGCAGCAAGAAACATCCCTGAAAGGGGGCAGAGATGTTCTTTGAAGGTTGGGTTGGATTTCAATAAGCAAAAGGATGGAGACACTCCAAGTACATGATAGTCAAAGTTATTTATGATTCTAACTTGTATATGAGGACAAGACTTGACTTCATGAAGCACTGAGGTTGTCTTAAAACAAGTAGAGGACTACATATCATGTTTTAGAAAAAGCATCTTGCTTTGAGTTGTAAACTCTGCTTAGCCACGTTTCAGTCGATGTGGCATACATGAACACATCTACCAGTTAAATAATTATTCCCTGGAAGAAAATTCTACAGTATGCAAAAGCTTTCCTTGATAAAGGAGAAAATAGCTCAAAGTAGACTCATAGATTTTCCAGATTTTAACCTGAAAGTGTTAATATACAACACTGCAGAAGGACTTTACCAAATTTATCTCACCTAGGATTAAGTTGGAGGCTGGAACTCGCACTTGATTGAAATGGATCTCAAAATGTCCTCCATGTAAGTTATCTATAAAGTAGACAAGAAAATTTTGAAGAACAAAATGAATTGACCAAAAACAGCATCACACATAATCAACCTGCTGAAGTATAATTACTCAAAGAAGGTAGGATTTCAAAGACCCAATTGTCATGGGCATTCCCAGAGAGAAGTCAGCCCCAAAGAGAGAGCTACTGATAACATTACAGATTTTAGAAGCCATTTGATTCAGAGGCTCCAATTCATTCCCTGAAATCATACAGCTATGAAAAAGAAAGACTAGTCTCCACTGCTCCAACAAGACTATTTTACTATTGTTTCATAATTGCCTCTTCTTTACATTTTTGTATATGGGGTTCCATAGAAAGTTTTTCTTGGGAAAAGAAAAGTTTGCTTAGAAAAATAAAAGAATTCCAAAGAATCTTGCTTGGGGAGGAAAAAAAGAATCAGTGCTTCAAAAATTAATGGTGCGCAACATAATTCAAGCTTCCTCTCTTATGCCTGTAGAAAGCAATGTCTGAAGATGATAGGGCCTGCTCTAGGGGATGGTGCAGGCTCTTCCTGGGAGTTGGCACTGAGACTGGACCTTCAGGTGTGATTACTCCCAATCCACACTTGTCTCATTGTGCCTCTGCCTCCCAAAAATGCTGGTATTTCTGTCCCTGAGACCGGGAACAGTCTCCCATGGAGAGGAGAGGAGGTGGACAGTCAGCATTGCTGTTCCTTGAATACAATCTGCCCTTTCCCAAAGTGACAGCACAGGGCAGAAGGCTGTACTGCTGCTTATTTGCTCCATTCTGAATCCCATATTAAGCATATTAAGACAGTTGTCAGGACCACAGGAATTTCTACAAATACATTTCATGCACTCAAATGACATCTTGTCCCTCCAACAGTCTGCCTGCTTGCTAATGCAAAACCTGTTTATTGAGCCTTACCCATGTAGCCAAAAACTGTCAAAGGCCTTATGATTTGTACGCCAGGTATGTCCATAGGAACGAGAATCATGCTGTGTTGTCTGTGCCTAGTCAAAAAAAAGCAGCATTAGGAAAGATTTGCTAGGACCAAAAATACACACGTTAAGAAGACTCAAAATTTTTTTGTTGTTGTTGTTCTTGTTAGCAATCACATTAGCAAAGGTGACTGCCATGGGAATGCATAACAGACATGCACCTGGCATGGTCTGCAGTGGGCTGTGATCTGCGATCAGTGATTTAGAAAGAGGTTAATGCTGCTCTCATTGCTCCACAATGGTAAATGGGAACTGATAAGCAGGGTGAAATGTTCCAAGACCATTGTCTATAAGCCAAACACCTGTTCCCTTGGGTATTGCAGAGTGCTGAAAAATCTTACATTTCATAATCAGACCCAAAGCTACCTGATGACTCAGCAACACTTGCTAATGGTGACAACACCACATAGAGAGCAAACAGAAGCACACACGCCCCAGAACGTTTTCCAAATGTATCTTTTGGCAAAATACTCGTGAAACACAACATGGGACATTTAATCTCATGCTATTTTTTCTATTTTTGTGATTAATGATGCCAAACATTATATATCAAGTAAACTAAGTGGATAAAGATTGACTTTAATTCCTACATAGCTTTCTCAGTCAGAATCATTTTATCACCTGGATACAGAAGCAGATTTAGTTCTTCCCAGAACAATTGCAATTTTGCACTTGGGGTTCCCAGCTCCTAAAACAAGGGGGGAAATGAGCAGAATACATTAAAAAAGGAAATTTCTAGTTTGACATTTCACCCTGAAGCTTTTAATCCTTTCAAATTTAATGCTAGCAAAAACAACCAAAAAAAAAAAAAACAGGATGGAAAACTCTAAATTAAAATGTATTAAAATAATATGTAATATACATAACATGTTTATGTATATCCCTACATGTCACCCAAGAAAAGTGCTCAGGCAAGGATCCAAGAAGGGACTCCCTCAGTGACCTTCCCCAGAAGTCAAGCAGCATGAAAAGGTCGCAGTCCTTACTGGGAAATGACAGCCCTCCCACTGCCCACTGCAGACAGCAGCACGCTCAGAAGGCTCTGGGATGATGTTAGAGTTGATAGAACTGCCTTTCTTACGGGAGAATCCGACAGGAGTTTTACATGTCGGATGTAAGATTTTATTTGGCCACAAGTAAGAGGCTCTGATCCCATGTTTAGTAAGACGAAGTTCTCCTTCAGGGAGTGAAAAATGATCAGCATTTTAAAATGTAAAGTTTTTCTCATTTTAATGTAAAATGTGTTCACATTTCAGGAGTCTATGGGATTCTTCCTGAGGCCTTTTTGCAAAACAGTGCATATCATGTTGGCCAGGGATCTGAAGTACCTGGTCACTCAGGAAAGCTGCCATTTTAAAATGTATTAAAATAATATGTAATACCTTGCTTGCCAAATTAAAATAATATGTAATACCTTGCTTGCCAATTGCAAGGGCACAGATAACTGGATCACACTAAGTTAGACACATCCATACAAAGTCTCAAGTACATATGTATATATGTGTGTGTGTGTGTGTGTGTGTTTGTATATGATTTATTTATTTGAAAGGCAGAGTAAAAAAGATCATTCATCCACTGGTTCACTCTCCCAAATGCCAATCAAAGTTAGGGCTGAGCTAGGCTGAAGTCAGGAGCCAGGAACCCCATCCTGGTCTCCCACCTGGGTGCAGGGGCCCAAGCACTTGGGCCATTATCTGCTGACTTCCCACGTGCATTAGCAGGAAGCTGGACTGGAAGCAGAGTAGCCAGACCCTCCAATAAAGAATGTGGGTGCCCCACACAGGGGCTTAATCTGCTACACCACAACACCTGCCCTTCACATTCTTTTTTTTTTTTAACTTCTTCTAGGAAAAAAAAAAAAGGTTTCAAGTGATTTGAAATCACGTAAAGAGAGATTGAAATAACACCAACGTTCAATGAAAAGTGTTAGGGTTTATGTCAAACAGTTGAATAATGTCATAAAATCTCATGGGTGAAAAGAATAAACCCCATGGAACATAACAAAGGAAGCTACATGGATATGGTCAATAAAATCCAGACAGTGGGAAATGTACAGGCCAACTAATCCAACTTCTTCAGTTAAGTTACAATAAAATAAAAAAGGGGAGATGGAGGGGGAGCATACATGTTAAAAGAGACTTAAAAAGCAGCCGGCGCCGCGGCTCACTAAGCTAATCCTCCGCCTTGCGGCGCCGGCACACCGGGTTCTGGTACCGGTCGGGGCGCCGGATTCTGTCCTGGTTGCCCCCCTTCTAATCCAGCTCTCTGCTGTGGCCCGGGAGTGCAGTGGAGGATGGCCCAAGTGCTTGGGCTCTGCACCCCATGGGAAATCAGGAGAAGCACCTGGCTCCTGCCTTCGGATCATCGCGGTGCAACGGCCGCAGCACGCAGGCTGCAGCGGCCATTGGAGGGTGAACCAATGGCAAAAAGGAAGACCTTTCTCTCTGTCTCTCTCTCTCTCACTGTCCACTTTGCCTGTCAAAAAAATAAATAAAATAAAAAAACAATTATTATATCTTATTGGATCCTACTTCAGTCAAACAAAATATAAATGAAACCACTAGAAATGTGAATGCTTACTGGATATGTCATAATAGTATGAAAATAGTTCAGTATTTTTACTGAGATCCATACTAAAATATCTTCATAGATGTCTGGGATTTATTTCAAAACAATACAGGGAGAAGAGGAAATAGGAGTAAGTATGACACAAGACTGGCCATGAACTCAAAACTGTGGAGTCTCAAAAGTATTCAGAGAGAATTCCTGGGAGACCTCAATGAGCAGCCAGGATATGAAGGAGAAATGTGGATGCCCTATAGAAATGCCTGGGAACAGCTCCCATGACGGCAGAGCCTGGTGGGAAGTGCCACTGGGCCTCCATGGTTGGAGAAGGGGTTGGAAAGATGACACAGTGAAAAAAGTACCAAGAGAAAGATGGCCAGGCAAGACACAGAGACAAGGCTAGCAGAGAAAAGGGAGAGAGGAGAAAGTACAACATCAAAGAGGCAAAAGTTGAGGAGTAGTAGTATACTTTACCTTTTAATTTTTTTCTCCATTTACTTGAAAGGCAGAGACAAAGAAATAAATGAAATACAATGCAAACAGGAGCTCTTGGAGAGCCTTCAGTCTATCTCATGAGATACCGAGTAAACAGAGAAAACCTTACAACAGAAATAACCTAGAATTTCCTACAGTTCAGAATGGAATCTGAGCTGGTAACTTTTCTAAAACCAACTTGGAGAGAATCAGAACGGCAGAAATACATGTTTATCTCCCCTTGCTCCTGAGATCGCGCTGAAGTAAAAATACGAAATGGCAATGAAGGCATAACTCTAACAGATGGCACTCACAGAGGCAAGTGTTGGACACTTAGAAGGGAAAATGTACAGTGTGTTATAAGGGGACCCTCAGGGGAGCAGTCTGAAAGCTGACCCTAAAGTGAATCCTGCTCCACCAGGAGTTTTCCTACAGAATTCCTACTCAGCAAAGAAACATAGCCAGAAACTCTTCTATGTCAATAACAGAAAACCTGCACCTACTTTTCCTTTTCTCTTAAATTGAATGGAAAGCCAAAGAGACTGGCCAAAATAAGCTGGAAAACTAATCACTATGGAATAAAACAAAGCTAGAGATAAGGGGTCATTTGGCACAGTGGTGGAGATGCTGTTTGGGATTCCTGCATTCCTTATCAAAGTGCCTGGGTTCAAGTCTGGGCTCCACTTCTGGGAGGCAGCAGGTAATGACTCAAATACCTGGGTTCCTGCCACCCATGTGGAAGACCCAGATTGAGTTCTGGGCTCCTGGCTTCAGCATGGCCCACCCCTGGCTATTGCAGGCATATGAGGAGTAGGCCAGTGAATGGAAGATCTCTCTATGTGTCCCTCTGCCTTTCAAATTAAATGAAAATAAAATTATAACAAAAATAAGATACAGAACCTAAAAGCAAGCAACTAACAAGAAACTGAGCTAAACCAAATAACAAAACAAAAATAATAGGACCTCATATTGAGAGGTCCTAATGTATTGCATCAAAGTAGAAGAGGGATCTCTGAAACAGAAACAATCCAGACAAGAACATCACAACTTTCAGAGATGAACACACAATTTCTGAAGCACTAAAATTGACAAGCATATGAGCTTACGGCTAGAAGAGACAGCCAGAGACTGAAAATAGGAAAGCAAAAGTAAGAGACACTTGGAGACAAAACATGAAGTCCAACATCAAAGTAAAGGGAGACAGAAAAAGAGCGAACATAAAACATAAAAGAAGTTAGCAAATAAACATGTAGAAGAAAGTTTTCTAAAACAAAACAAAAACAGATTGAGTCACTGATGCCAAGAAGTGTCCATTCTGTGACATTTCAAGACGTCACTGATGAACAGAAAATCCTAAAAGGTTTCAGAGATAATAAAACAAGCCACCTGAAAGGAATGAGGGTCAGAGTGGCTCAGACTCTTCTCAGCCACAGGGATGCTAGCTGAAAATGAAGAACTCTAACTAGACTTCTAGACTCATTCAAACTAGCACTTTTTTGAAGGCAACATAAATTCTTATTGAAACATGACAACAGATCCTATAAAATTTAGCTGTTCTGTACTTTCTCCCCAAGAAGTTAAGAACATAGACAAGCAAAATAAGGAAGTAACTGAAGAGAAAGGAAGCCCAGGAGGGAAATTTATGGAAATGCCTGGATAATTGCATAAACCATGCCTACAAGGTAACCAGTCCAGACTGCAAAAGACAGACTAAAGACTCCAAGAGAGGGGTTTCCAGACAAGGGGAAAGCCACTGCAATTAAAAGTGCAAAGCAGGCCTGCGCCGTGGCTCACTAGGCTAATCCTCTGCCTTGCGGCGCCGGCACGACCAGTCCCGGTCGGGGCGCCGGATTCTGTCCCACTTGCCCCTCTTCCAGGCCAGCTCTCTGCTGTGGCCAGGGAGTGCACTGGAGGATGGCCCAAGTACTTGGGCTCTGCACCCCATGGGAGACCAGGATAAGCACCTGGTTCCTGCCATCGGATCAGCAGAGTGCGCCGGCCATGGCGGCCATTGGAGGGTGAACCAACGGCAAAAGGAAGACCTTTCTCTCTCTCTCTCACTGTCCACTCTGCCTGTCAAAAAAAAAAAAAAAGTGCAAAGCATAGGCACAGGTGTGGAGGGGAAGAAGATCTTATAAAATCAACACACGACACCATCAAAACTCCAGGGGGAAAGCTGTTAAATGTACAAGTGAACTGTGACCAAATGAAAAACAAACTATAATGTAATATGAATTTAAGTAATACATAGAGCATCAGAAAAACTATTCCAATTGACCTTGATACTAGGAATACTCCTTAGAATGGCTCAGGAAATTATATATATATATACAAAATTTTATGTATGTATATATAAATGTATGTATATATATACATATATAAGTATATGTATACATGTATACATGATACAAATATACATATATGTATAATACAGATATACATATATGAATATATAAATATGTATATATAAATGTATAGATACATTTTATATATGTATAACAGTTCTAGGACACAAAATCTAACACATTACTCATACCAGTACTGAACAGCATGTACATACTCTTGTAACATCAGTTTTATGTGTTGGTTATCAACATTTAGGCATCCTGTCATCAGCAATTCATGGTTTCAAGAGAGAATATAAACATTAGTCATCTTGATGGTGTGAAGTCAAGGTTGTCCTTGATACGAGGTATGGGTGATCCTGTACCTAGTGGGAGGTTGAGAGGACATGGCACACATGTGTCCCGGGAAGGACCCCACAACCTGACTGCTGGCAGGCACTTTTCCCCACCCCACTCCCTGTTAAAGGTCCCTGAAATTGCCAATCAGGTAAACGGCTCCCGGATGTGACCCAGGCCCATTAGGACCAACTGGAAACTAACCTAGCTATGTGATCTTCAAGCTAATTGGAAAGGCATATTGGCGCCAGTGTCGGTTCTGTCCTATAGTATTGGTGTTGCCTTTAAAAGTATAAGTGGCTGCCCTTTAAAAGTATAGGTGGCTGTGAATAAAGACAGACACATCCTTGGAAACTTGTCTCCAGTGCTTCTTGTGAGAAGGACACTGTCCCCCTGCTCTCCTCAACAGTGCAGCCTTGCAGGACAAGCCGTAATGAGGACGGAAGAAACGAGAGGTAGGGAAAGAGATAAGAGAACTCATGCCCTTTATAGGCAAAACGTGGGGGCTGTGCTATAGCGTAGTGGGTTGAGCCTCTGCCTGCAGCGCCAGCATCCCGTATGGGCACCAGTTCGTGTCCCAGCTGTTCCTCTTCCGATCCAGCTCTCTGCTGTGGCCTGGGAAAGCAGTCGAAGATGGTGCTTGGACCCCTGCATCCACATGGGAGACCTGGAAGAAGCTCCTGGCTCCTGGCTTTGGATCAGCCCAGCTCTGGCCATTGAAGCCATTTGGGGAGTGAACCAGTGAATGGAAGACCTTTCTGTCTCTCCCTCTCTCTGTCTGTAGTTCTGCCTCTCAAATAAATAAATAAAATCTTTAAAAAATTAAGTGAAACTTGAAGAGATTCTGTTAAATGAGGATACAGAAAGAGAAATGTAAAGATAATTTAAAGTTTAAAAATTCCAACAATGTGAAACTGCCTAAACATTGGGAAAGGGCAGAAAGTTATAATACAAGTGGACTAGACTGTCAGTATCCAAATCAGAGAGTCAGTGACAGTGTCAAAAATGAATAAATGGAGAAATAATGTTATGTAAAATTGTAATAGAAACCAGAAGATGAAAAACAGAAACTTAAAAAAAAAAAAGTATTCTCTGGGGTATGGAAGGAGAAATAGTATGTCCTAGTTATCTTCTCATTTGTTATTTCTAATTGGAAAGTAACTTTAAAAACTATTAAAGAAAAATCTAGCTTACCACTGTGTAAACAAATCTGCAGATTTGAGGGAGCTACAGTGTGATTAACTTTCCTTTGTAAGCACTTTTCAATCTGAACAATCAACCTGCAGTGGAGGAGTCATCTCCTGCATATCCTGGCCATTTCCCCACTTCGATGTGCTAACACCTAACTCCAGAAACACTGCTGATAAAACTGCTGATAAAACATGGAAATTAATTAGAAAAAATTAAATCAGATTTTGTCCAGGAAAGGGAGGAAGGCATTGCATGAAGGATGTGCAGCTCTGTTCAACCCCAGGTGGGTGTAGAAATGAGGCACCTCACACTGCATTGGTCTGAGATCACAAGACTGCTTTCCCCATAGTCAAAGCCACCAGAATTGTGAGAACATGCAATCATGCATACATACTTATGATTTTATGTATGACTAGAGACAAAAAGAGGATTTAACTAACTTAACCAAGAAATTTTAAAAAGCAGCAAAACCTTAAATTGGCCAACAGATGTCACACTAATCAAAGAACAAAATGGTCTCTCCCACTTTTTTCCTTAATGCATGACTTACCGTCTTTATTATCTATGAGACAGAGAAAGGAACAATTTCTCTAGCTTGCTGGGCATTGGCAACATAACCTCTACCTAATCTAACTGCCTCAAACATTAAAATAGGAAATGATTACATTGAAAAGGAGCAAATTTGTATATTTGAAAAGCAGAGCGACATACATATACAACTGAACCATTAGCTGAGTCACTCCCCAAATACCCAAAGTAGCCAGAACTCCACCCAGGTCTCCTACAGGGGTGACAGGGGCCTAAGTACTTGAGGCATCCTCTGCTGCCTTCCTGAGAGCTAGATCAGAAGCAGAGTGGCAGGCACTCCAATAGGGGGTGCCAGCATCCTAAGCAGCAGCTCATCACACTGCACCACAATGTCAGCCTCAGAATCCTTTTTATTAGAAGATAAATGCAAGAAATTTCATAAATACAAGAAGGAAAAATGTAATTTTGTTCCAGTACAACATTTCCCATGCCTCAAAACGTCTGCACTGCCATTAGAAAACACAGGCCCTTAATTCAGTGGAAACACATTTATTTTATCTCAACCAATAATAAATGGCAGTTTTCGATTTCTAGAATTTGTTCTTCATTTCAATGTCAATGTCTTCCTCTCCTTTTCTTCTAGAATTCCAATCACACATATTGTATACCTTTTGATTGATGAGTCCTTAACACTCTGTCCATTCATTTCCTTCCACCTTTGCTTCAAAGTGGATTCTTTCTATTGGCCTATCTTCAAGTTGGACGTTTTCCTGTCATTTTCATTATGTTACTAAACCTATTCTGTTCATTTTTCAGATATTTTAAAGTTATAGTATTTTCTGTGCAACCCTATGTTTAATATTTTCTCTTTTGATATTTCCTTTTTATTTTTCTTAATCTCACTGAGCAAATTTATAATTGCTGTCGTAAGTCCTCCCCTGATACATTCCAACAGCTGAGTGGTTTGGGGTTGGCCTTTCCCTTTGAAAAAGGGCCATGTTTTCCTCATTCTTTATTTGTTGGGTAATTCCAGGTTCTGTCCATATTCTGGACACTGTGATTCTTTTAGAATCTCTGGATTCTGTCAAGTTCCTCCAAAGAACGTTAATGTCTTGTCTAACTTAGGCACAGTCTGCCTCAAGTTAGGTGGGTGGGAGATTAAATTTCAACTTGGTGCTCGCTGGTAGCTGCCAGCTGCTTTGGATCTGCCCTTTGCATGGCTGGGGTTCAGGAGTCAGCTGGAGCTGCCCTTTCCAGCTTTGTTCTTTCTAGGAATAACAACCATGCCCCTGCCTCACCCCTGCTGCCACCCCAGCGCCACCACCTTCCAGCAGGCTCTGTGCTCTGGCTCCTCAGGGCTGGAACAAGAGCTTTCCAGAGAAGCTCTGCTTCCCCAGCCCACACAATGTGCTGAAGCTAAAGCACATAGATGGAAAACTCACCTGGTGCCTAGATCTTCTTCTAAATTTTGACAACCCTGCAAAATCACTTTGCCTTTGTTCACCCCCCAGAGAATTCAGGTAGTTATTTTTAGTTGTGATCTGTAGGAAAGTTGGTCTTATGTGCTAACTCCATCAGACTGAAGGTGCAATTACCTGGGTTTTCTCTTTTAAACTTTGTCAAAACTGGGTCTTCTCTCACCCAGTGTGCGCAAGTTTCATATACTGGAATACATGTGTATATTTGTATTCTTGAAAAACAGATTTAAAATATGTGTCAGTTGAAATTTGATAAATGCAATGCTCATCTCAAAATATGATCATAGAAGCGGAATTAGAAATTGTAGATGTTCTAAAATTTAAAAAAACCTATACAAGCTTGAAATTCCAATCACCAGTTGTTTTGTACTGTTACACATGTAAAATAAAACTAAGTTAAAATCAATTGCCTTAGAACCATTGTTTGTAATTTGATTTCTTCCAAGTTTAATGGAGTCTATTTTTAATAAATTCTAAAAGGACCATTCTCATTTGCACTAATGAGAAAAGTTTCCCCATTCACATATTTCAAAGTTGTAAAATCTCAGCTAGCATACTCCTTGTGATGCATCCACTTTACTATTTATTGAAAAAAATTCCTAATGGTTTGCATTTACTAGATTGTGTTCTTCTGATTTTTAAAAATGTTTACTTCCTGGGCCAAAACTGTGGCATAGTAGGCTAAGCCTCCACCTGCAGCGCCAGCATTCATATAGGTGCCAGTTCATGTCCTGGCTTCTCCTCTTCTGATACAGCTCTCTGCTAGTGTGCCTGGGAAAGCAGCAGAGGATGGTCCAAGTCCGTGGTCCCCTGCACCCATGTGGGAGATCTGGATGAAGCCCCTGGCTCCTAGCTTCAGATCAGCCCAACTCTGCTGTAGCAGAGGCCTATGTTTTTTAATTAAACTTGTTTCTGAGATGATTAAAGTTGTAGAGGCCTTCCCAAGGCTAGAAGAAAAACGGAGGCATCTGTCCTGGGAATGAAACGTGGTTGCTATCTGCTTGCCTGTGAATGAATCAACTGTAGTCCCTGTCTGCTTATATGTAACCATTGCAGGATCTGCTTGTTAGTACAGAGCAATGATGTTAACCCTTGACAGGCAGCTTACAAAAACAAACAAACAAAAGCCTTTAGTAACTATATTCACATGCACAGTATTGTATCAATCCTGTGGCCACCATGTAATATTAGAATTTCCAATCACATGTATGCAGGTAACTATATAAGGGAGACAAAGAGGCTAAAGCCTTATAAGGGAAAACCCTTCTTCATTCAGGTCTCAGGATTTTGGATCAGAAATTTCACCTGGGCCTTATGCCAGCCTAATAAAAGACTACTTCCTGTTAAGAGGCCTTGATGTCATGTCTGGGTGCATGAATCCTGCTACACTGGCTGTTGCTACAATGCTACAATTTGGGGAGTGAACCAGTAAATGGAAGATCTCTCTCTCTCTCTCTCTCTCTCTCTCTCTCTCTCTTTCTCTCTCTCACACATACACACACACACACACACACACACTTTCTCTCTCTCTCTCTCTCTGTAATTATGGCTCTCAAATAAATAAAATATTTTTTAAAAGTTTACTTTTATTTATTTGAAAGGCAGAGAGACAGAAAGAGAAAGAGAAAGTTTTCCATGTGTCAAATTACTCCCCAGACACCAGCTATGGCTGCAGCTGCACCAGGCCAAAGCCAGGGGCCCAGAACTCTACTGGGTCTCCCACATGGGCAGTATCACCTGCTGCCTTCCAGGGTGCACACTGGCAGGAAGCTGGATTAACAGCGGACATGAGATTTTAACCCAGGCACTCAGATACAGGATGCAGGCATCCCAGGCAGTGGCTTAACCCACTGTGCCACAACACTTTAGCCCCTTTTCTGATTTTTATGGGAGTTAACAGATAATGTCTGTGACTGCTGGAATTCATATACTGAAATCCTAACTCCTAAGGTGATGCTATTTGGAGGTGGAGCCTTTGGCAGATAATTCTGTCCCAAAAGAGGTGATTAGGTAAATAGAATGGGGGTAGAGAATGATGGAACTCAGTTGCTCTTTCTACCACAAGGACACAACCTTCATGAATGAGCAAGTGAGCCCTCACCAGACTCCGAATCTGTTGGACCCTTAATCTTTAACTTGCCAGCCTCCAAACTGTGAGAAATAAATTTCTGTTGTCTACTCCAATCATCCATCCTTTTATGGTATTGAGTTATAGCAATCAAAATAAATTAAAATAAAAATCAATTCTACTTATCTGAGGACCAACACGAAGAATAGTAGGATGATTCAATGGCAGATGATAATAAAAGCTGGGCGTCTCTAATTCCAAAACCCAAAATCCAGCGTGCTCCAAAGTCCAAAGTGTTTGTGCATCATGTCGGTATTTCTGATTTCAGATGTGTGGACCAATAATGACTATTCAAATATCTCAAATTCTGAAATCTGAAATACTTTCTCTCTCAAGCACTTTGGATAAGGGATATTCAACCTGTACTTACATTTCATTGTGAGTCTTAGCTAGGATTACTTATCTGAAAATACTCAGCTGGGGTAATAATTTTTTAACCTTGATTGGCCCTGACTGTACAATAATATGCACTCATGTTGTGATTCTTAGTTAGAAATTACAGAGGAAGTTACAGAGTGGCTCACTTTTAATTTTCTAATTGTATATCTTTCTGCTCGGGGCTGGCTTTGAGGTTTTAGTTACAGGAAGTCTCATGCAGTGTCCAGTGGCTTATGGACTAAAGGGAAGAAGCTACTTGCCCTATACAATGCCTTGTCTCCTTAAGTGGGCATACTTCAGAAATTGTGGTTCATTTTCATTAGAGATATTTTCTTTCTATATTTTTCATCCTGGCAATCAAGAACTTCTTGGGGAGATGGGTGTTTGGCCTAACAGTTGAGACACTAAGATGCCCACTTCCCACATCAGAATGGCTGTATTTGAGTACTAGCTCCAGTTCTTGATCCCATCTTCCTGGTAATGGAGATCCTAGTGGTGGCCCAAATACTTGGGTCCCTGCCACCCATGTGGGGAGCAACTGGGAGCAACTCGGACTAGACTAAGTTACTGGAATTAAGACTTATTCTATGCATCTGCTCTCCCACAATATGGCGCTGGGAAAGGAGGAAACAGCTTCTACACAGCTGCCTCCAGTTCAACCAATAAACAGCAGGACCTGCTCCTGATTGGAGGAGAGCAGCGTACTCGGCGTGTAGGTAGCAGAGTTGGGATTGGTGGAAGAGGACTATAAAGGAGGAGAGAGACAACATGCACCAGGAACATCTATCTGAAGGAACACCTGAGCAGCCCCTGAGAGAGCCGGACGGCGGTGTGCCGCTCCCCTGCAGAAGTGGGGAAAGTGGCAGGGGGCCAGCCCCTCCACGGAGGTGGAGGGACGGTAGCCAACCCGGGAAGAACCAGCAGCAAACCCGGGAAGGGCCGAGCAGACAAAAGAACAACGCAGGGTCCTGTGTCGTTCCTCCACGAAGAGGGGGAACGACATAATGGTGCCGTGACTTGGATAGGAAACCTAGGCAGGGTTTAGTGTCGTTCCTCCATGAAGAGGGGGAGCGACACACCCACATTGGAGATGGGGATACTTGGATTGAGTTCTCAATTTTAGACCAGCTCTGGCCATTGTGACCATTTGGAAAGTGAACTAGCAGGCAACAGATCTATCTGTATCTGCTTCTTTCTCTTTCTCCTCTCTCCCTTAAATCAAACAGAGGATTTTCTATAATTCTTTTGAATGTGGGTCCAAAACTTGATTTTTCTAATTGCAGATTATATCATTTTTCCTCTAATATTACCCAATATCATTTCTTGCATCGTTATTTCTATAATAAAATGTTCTTATGACATTCTTATATAAATGCTCAATAGATTTTAGATATCAGGTTAAGTTTGAAAAAACTGAAGAAACAAAATAACTCTGAAGAACAATTCAGATTCTGAAAAATGAAATGTCCAACTTGGCCCTCTTTCTGTGATCATTAGGTAGAGGAAGTAAAGGTGAGAGCATAATTTACAAAAATTGAAATACTATGGCTCAAACTTGATGATTCAGAAAAATGAGGAAAAACCCCTCACAAATACATCATCCCTTAGCTACCAGCAGAATTTGGCAGGTGCAGCAGCAGCAGCAAATATCCTTCTTTTCAATGATTTTGCTCTTTTAGAGCATCTGGTTAACAAGATATCAGATGTCACAGATGCAATCTATCAGAGGAAACATGAATAGAAAGAGAAGGTTCCTACCTGATCGCTGGGACTGAGGCCTTCATGAAGGAAAACAGATGGCACACATCAATCACTGGGTGTGTTTTAAGCATTACTATGTGATTCCCCAAAACTGGGGTAAATATACTTACCCTCTTAAGCACTTAACATTTCTTTATAGAGAAAATATCCAAAATTCCATCTTCTAGTTGTTTTTTTAATGGTGAGAGAAATAACTTTTTTTTCATCCACATTTTGCAGTATTTCAAGACTATTCAAGCGCCAGGATTAAGTCAAGCTAAAAATCTTATCTCTGTGATATATGCTGATGACTTAATTCCAGGCTCCTACAACCACATGGTTATCAAGCAAGATCATTTCTGGAAAAAGGCAAGATGTCAAGTAGAAAAACAAAAATATGGGTGGGTATGGATGTATTAGGCAACAACTAAGAAAGTGACATAAATGATTATATAATAGGAGGCAGTTTTGTGCTTCTATCAATGCTAGATTTCTGAGGTGACATATTTAAACTTCTTTTGGCTTTAGCTTTAATATCAACAATCCTGGGCCAGGCACCGTGGGGCAATTGTAAAACCACTGCTTGTGGGGCTACACTGTAGTGTTGCAAGTAAAGCAGCTGCCCATCTCATATGGGTGCCAGTTCAAGTCCTAGATGCTCCTCTTCTAATCCAGCTCTATGTTATGGCCTGGGAAAGCAGTAGAAGATGGTCCAAGTGCTTGGATCCCTGGACCTGAATGGGAGACCAAGAGGTAGCTCCTGACCCCTGGCTTTGGATCAGCCCAGCTCTGGCCATTGCAGCCATTTGGGGAGTGAACCAGAGGATAGAAGACCTCTCTTTCTGTCTCTCCCTCTCTCTGTCTATAATTCTACCTCTTAAATAAATAAATCTTAAAAAACAAAAAACCCTGCTTGGGATGCCCATATCCCATATCAGAGTGCCAGTTCAAGTCGTAGCTACTCTACTTCCAATGCAGCTTCTTGCCAATGTGCTTGGGAAGGTAGTGGAAGATAGCCAAAGTACTTGGACTCCTGATACTCATGAAGGAGGCCCAAATGGAGCCTAGGTTTCCTGGATCTGGCCTGGCCCAGCCCTGGCTGTTGTGGGCATCTGGAAAGTGAGCCAGCAAGTAGAAGATACCTCCCTGCCCTTCCCTTTCCTTCCCTTCCCTTCCCCTCCCCTCCCAAACCCTCTTCTCCCCTCCCCTTCCTCCCCCTTCCCTCCCTTCCTCTTCCCTTCCCTTCCCTTCTCTTCTCTTTGTGTGCATCTGTCTGTCTCTCCCTCTGTCAGTCTGCTTTTCAAATAAATAAATCTGGAAAATATTACCAATTCAAAGTGGAAAATAACATTCTGAGTTAAGCACCATTTTACAATAAAATTCTTATGTGTGAAAAATTGTTGATCATACAATCCCACAGTTAAGGAAAAACAACTCATGTGTTCTCTTGGAGCATGTGTTATCTTTGGTAAGGGAAATACACTCTGAAAGTTTATAAAGTTTATAAAGTGGTGGTTTATAACTGGGTTGTCATTAGAAAACTCACACATTGCAAAATAAGGAAAAATTGGTGGAAAATAGTTCAACATTTATGAAAAATGCATATAATACTTACATCCTGAGAATATAAAGAACATCTGAAAATCCAGAGTAAAGACAGGCAAAGAATACAATTGCAGAAAGAGGAGATGAGAATAAAGAGATTTATAAAGTGTTTAACTTTACCACAAACCAAATAAATGCAAAATAAGACTACAATGGAGTGCCATTTCACGTATTATTAGCTGACCAAGATAATATTCAACAGCAGCTTATTGCACAGTATTTTGCATTTGGTGTGCAAGGGCAGAGTTAGGGGTACTACATCTGTTACAAGTCATTTAGAAAGTGAAATGGTAGTAAAACAACATATTCTATTGCCAGGGTCTTAGAGACATAGGTACTTCCATCTATGATTTGTGGGAGAACAGAGTGACAGCATCCCAACAGAGCATGGGCTGGCAACAACCTTCACAATTACAGATGCCTTTAGTCTTTGACGTATCAATCTGGCTTCTAAACTTATCCTACAGATGTAGATGTTTCTGAATGGAATGACAGTGCTCAAGATTATCCTTCACAGAAGTATTGTTTGTATTTGCAAAGATGTGAATGCACACCCATGTCCACCAAGAGAAGACTGTTGAAATATACCGTGTATGTCCACATAATGGAACTCTTCTACAAATAATAAGGAGGCTGAGTGTCTGATCATCAGTTAAGACACTGTTTAAGATATCTGCATCCCATATGGGAGTACCTGGGTTCATTACCTTGTTTTGGCTTCTAACTCCAGCTAGAGGCAGTAGTTATGGTCCAAGTAGTTGGGTTTATGGCACCCATGTAGGAGGCCTGGATTGAGTTCTTGGCTCCCAGCTCTGCCCCAGGCTGGTGCCAGGCATTGAGGACATTTGGGGAATGAACCAGTTTTCTCTGCCTTTCAAATAAAGTTTAAAGTAAATAAATAAAAAGAGTAAGGAAGCTTTGTTTGCACCAAAATGGAAAAGCAAATCTCTAGGATTATTATTCAGTATGAGTAGTAAAAACACTGTCTTTTGTGTAAGAACAAAAAGGATATTCTTGAACACACCTCAGTGAGATTAGATTAAGTTTGGGTTCCCACATCTAAAGAAAAACTGTATACACAAACACACACATACACATATAATATATATGCCCACACACAAAGGTGCTCTTTGTAACATTATTTGAAATAACAAAACACTGGAAATGATCTAAAAATCCTATAATAGGAAAATACACCAAATTATAATAATTCATAATGCATGACAAAATATTATTTACCTACTGAAAATGCCATTTATAGTGAATTTGTAATAACTCAAACATCTTACTTATGCAAAGACGTGAAGTTAACAAAGTCATGTATAGTAAGATTTCAGTATATGATATGGACATTCAAAAGAAATCATAAGGTTATCCAAATAATGCCCAAGCATATCTCAATATCAATGATATTTTCAGTGATCACATGTAGTTGAGAGTTTATAGTGAGACTGCTTCCTGAACATCCAACAGGAAGGATGAGGAATGGGTGTGGGGAGAGAGATTCCTTGGGAATAAGGGGCATTGCTCTATTAATGAGGCAGGAGACCACTGATGGTGGGCAGAATAGAAGCACAAGGACTGAGTTCTTAGGGATATGAGAAGTAGAAGAGAGTTAGAGAAAATAAGGCATTCAAGAAATATCAAGTTAGTGCTCTGAAAAGCTGCCTGCAGTGAGTGAAGCTTCTTTGTCCCCTACAAGCTACAGGACTGCCTTTCATATTTTTTCAAATCTCTCCCAATACACCAAATCTCCTACTTCCACCTGGAGAAGAAGAAAATCCAGGAGAAGGCCAGCTGGTGTGCTGCTTTGGCCATGATTCCACACAGGTGGGACTCATATGATACCAGACGCAGCAGCTCAATCCCCAGATCCTTTTTGCCCCAAGGGCTGGGAATGTATTTGAGTAAGCAAAAATGATAATGCAAATCCAAAAGATGGAAATTAGAGCCAATTTAGAAGAAGGAAATCCTATGTACAAGAAAGGATGTGGTTGGTAGTAGGGTCAATAAAGGAAAGGGATACTCTCAAATATTCACAAGGCAGTAACCAGATTCCAGAAGAGATGGCAGCATGGGATAATACAGATGTTCAAGAGACAGCTTAACAAAATGAGAATAGCTGAAGAATGGAGATCTCAATTCAAGTTCTGGCTCCACTGCTACACTTAAGCATCTGTGGAGGATAAGTTACTTAAGCACCAAGTGATTGACTCATGTATTTAATTACTATTTGCTAAGCTGGACCCATGAGTAAGGCACCAAGCTGTATGTTGAGAATATAATGGGGTACATAATAGCCATGAAAGATAGAAAAAAAGTTTTTAAGATGTTGAAAGGCACCGGCGCCGCGGCTCACTAGGCTAATCCTCCGCCTTGCGGCGCCGGCACACCAGGTTCTTGTCCCGGTCGGGGTGCCAGATTCTGTCCCGGTTGCCCCTCTTCCAGGCCAGCTCTCTGCTGTGGCCCAGGAGTGCAGTGGAGGATGGCTCAGTGCTTGGGCCCTGCAGCCCATGGGAGACCAGGAGAAGCACCTGGCTCCTGCCTTCGGATCAGCGTGGTGTGCTGGCCGCGGCAGCCATTGGAGGGTGAATCAATGGCAAAGGAAGCCCTTTCTCTCTCTCTCTCTCTCTCTCTCTCTATCCACTCTGCCTGTCAAAAAAAAAACAGATGTTGAAAGGCAAAGCAACAGAGTGAGAGAGAAAAAAAAGAGAGAAAGAGATCCATATGTGGTTCACTCCCCAAATGGTCAGAACAGCCCAAGCTGAAGCCAGGAGTCTGGAACTCCATTCAGGTTGTCCACATGGGTCGCAGGGGCCCAAATATTTGGGCCATCTTCTGCTACTTCTCCAAGTGCTTTAGCAGGGAACTGGATTGGAAGTGGAGCAGCCAGGACTCAAACCAGCACTCTGATACAAGATGCTGGCATCACAAGTGGTGGTTTAATTCACTAAACCACAATGTCAGCTCCAACAGAGAGAAAATTTTAGGAAGCACTAACAATGGAGCGAGCTGTACTCTAGAAGCTAAGAATAGGCATGTCTTATCTAATCTAGAATGGTTATCGAAGGCTTCCTGGATTGATTAATGTTAAAGTCAGGCCTGAATCTGAATCCTAAGGAGGAGTTAGGGCTCCAATGTGGAGTGGGGGAATATTCCAGACAGGAATAACAGAACACGCAAAGGCCCACCCACAAGCCAGTACTGTGTATTCTACAGGCAGATCAAATAGAAGATGTGATTGGCCATCATGGAGGCTGCATAGACCAATCATGCAGAGCATTAAAGGTAAGCCAAATGGAATAGTCATAGAAGAATAGTAGGATCTTCCTTAATAATTCAAAATAATTCTTGAGCACCTCTGATAAACCAGGCACTATTCTAAGCCCTTGGGAGACATCAGTGAGCACAGCAGACAAATGATGATGTTTCTATTCTAATATGGGGTTGGGGATAATAGACAGTGACATAAAAGTGATAAGCTACATTAGGACAAAAATGCTATGGAGGAGGTGGATTGGGAGTACAGCTGGGTGCGGAGTATTTTGAGCAGTTAGGGATTGCCCCAGGAGTAAGTGGAAATTGAGCAAAGTTTTGAAAAGATAAGAGAGTAAGCCTTGCAAGTGTGGAAAGCACATCCCAGGCAAATAGGAAAGCTGGCACAAAAGGTGTGAAGCAAAGAGACAGATGCAGTGGAGAAGGGGTGAGAGATAAGGCCCAGAGGCAACCATTTAGTGGAGGATCTTCGATCATGCCCTTTGGCTGGGATTCCCAGATAACTGAAAAGAAGGGAAGGGGCAGACCAAAGAGTCCAGCCAGGGCTGGCATAGCATTCAGAGCAGTGGTCAGAGAGACGCCTCCTGGGGAAGAGCTGTGCTGGGGTCTGCTCAGGATGCCAATGAGGCTGTTCACCGAGCACTTGCACAACTGTGTTTCCATAGCCTGAAGTTGGCCACAATGGGGGTGTTCACACCACAGAAAATGCAAATGGTGCAAATCTAAGTGCTTTTTCTCTTGGTAAACTAGCATAGCCACACACAGCTACGTGGCAGAGTGGCAGGCTGGTGGGCATGGTGGCGCAGCAGCTTAAGCCACCACTTGTGACACCCACATCCCATTTTAGAATGTGGGCTCAAGTCTCAGCTGCTCCACTTCCAATCCAGCTCCCTGCTGACACGCTTGAGAAGCAACAGATGATGGCCCAGGTGCCTGAATCCCTGCCACCCATGTGGGAGACCTGGATGGAGTTCCTGGCTCCCAACTTCAGCCTGGCCCAGTCCCAATTGTTGCAGGCCTCTGGGGAGTAAACTAACAGATGGCAGACACCTCTCTCTCTTCTGTCTCACTCAGCTTTTCAAATAATTAAAACTTAAAAAAAAAAAAAAAGAGCGGTAGATAATGGAGAGCAGCTGGCTGTCCCAGATGCATTGGGGTCAGTAAGGAAACGCTACTGAACAGTCTTCCTGCGAATCAACATGGAGGGAGACTAATGGCTTGGAGAAAATCAAAACAATCTGAGTCTGAAATAACGAGCAGGTGGAGAGGCTGGCTTTGCATGAGAAAATAAATAAGGCAACTGCCATGCAAAGGAGGGGGAGAGTCTAGTCCAAACAGACCTTGAGGGCCAAGTCTGCATGCCTTTCTCTTCTTTTGCTACACTGCATTTGTTTACAAGAAGCAAGAGAGTTTCAAGCCTGGGGAAAGGCACACGCCAAGTCAGGGACAAAGGGGACAGTGAAGCCAGGAGTCTCCTAGTTGAAGTGAACTTTAAATCTTGTAGCATAAAAATATTAATCCCTACTCATGCTTTCTCAGAATGTAGTCTTTGATAGCTTCATCTTCTGGGTTAACACAATCTTTGTTTCCTGTTGGGGTGGGGCGGAATAGCTTCACTGAGGATCTCCTTGGCGACATTCCGGGCACTCCCTGCAGGTCCTGGCCAGCTGCTTCGAGGCAGGCACTTTCCTGTTCCCTCCGCCACGTGGAAACTTTGAAAAGTCTGTAGTTTTGGAAACAAGATGGAATGCTTCCAAATTCATGTCCTAGCCTACTGAAGAACTTGGATTTGCTTTCACAGGATTTCGCTTTAAAAAAGGATCAAGTTATCACAACGTTAAATTGCAGGAAAGCCCTCTTGGAGGCAAGATAAAGGCGGGTGTGAAACCAAAACAAAAGTAACCAGAGTTGGGGCAGTCACTGGATTTCACGCAGCACTGGACCACTACTCTCTGTCCACTGAAACAGGTCAGTTCTTTCTTTTTTCTCACTTGAATATGATGGTATTTTAAGGACCAGAGACTGTATGTTTACTTATAGAGAGGGAGCTTTCAACTATAAAACTTAAATGTGTGCATGTCCAAAAAATGAGCTATTTGAAAACTGCTCTACACTTTCACCTTAAAATGAAAATCTGAACCAGTAAGAAGTATTATTTTAAATTCCATTGCATGGCTATACAACTTTGTAAGGAGAAAATATATTTTGCTATACTACTTTTTTCTGCAAATGCTGATTTTTTTCGTTCTTTAAAAAAATGTGTTTCTGTGTATCTGCCAGAAATATTATTATTGCAAACCATTCCCATTCCTGATCTTATTTACTCAAATATTTAGTCAGATTCTTACTTAAAAAAATACTCTTCCTTAATATATTATTGGCCATATTCTTGTTTATCAGATTTAAGATTTCTGTAAGAAAGAGGAAGAACAAAGTTCATGTTGTGTTAATAATTAACACATAAGAAAATGAAGACCAGATTGCACCATTCCAGATAATCTTGATGATAAATACAGCCCTGTTAAGTTGTGGGCTCTTGGTCTTGGCCAAGAGAAAGCAGCTCTTCTCTGTGCCTTTTCCCCCACAGGCCCTCTTCATTCTGCTGCACTTCCCCAAGCAGGACTGCTTAGCAAGCCTAAGAACAGGATTTTGAGAATGAACCATACATTGGAACACATTTTTGACAATAATATTTGTATTACCTATTCTATAAGGATGTTTGAGATTCTTTGAAAGACAAAAATAGTTTGAGATTATTTTCCCCCAAAGGACAAAAATACTCAACAAGAGATAAAAAGGGTAAAGAAAAGCAAAACCAAACTCAGCACATAATGAAAACACTGAAAGTCATTATTACATACTTGTGCATTATTACATAGCTTGTGAATTCTGTGCAAGTGTTTCTGAGTACTACGGGGTGCTACTAGCCAACACAATCCAGTTACTGATGTTGAGACAGGAGATTTCTGGCATGCACGTCTATGTTCTGGAGTAATAGCTCATACCTTCTGGCAAAACTTTGAGCTTAACCGGTATTTCCTGAGCAGCTAGTGTGTGCCAGGCAGGCTGATAGAGTTTTCAAGACAAACTTTGGGGAGCTTAACTCTGGGGAGCTCAGAGGGACAAGGCTGTCTGAGAAACATCTTTCCCATGGCACAGGGTCAATTCTGTAAGCCACAGGCAGAGACTGCTGTAGGATCAGGAAGGTCTTTTGGGGAGGCAACATGCAAGCTAAACTGAGTAACAACCGGCCCTTCAAGGGAAGGGTAGGAAACACTATGGCAGAGAAAGGAACGCAAGATGTTGCAGCATGGTGCCTGTCAGCCACATTGGCTAACCAACTGCTGGCTGTGAGGTAGGGCACAGGGGAGGCAGAGTAGAGGAGGTTTGCGTGGCACCATATTAAGGAGCTGGGATTCCGTGTTTCAGGCCAAGCAGTGGGCCTTCCAGCTGAGGAGCTAAGCAGGTGAGTGACAGATGGCCAGAGACAGAACATCCTGGTCTTTGTGGTATCTGGCAAGAGGTGGTAAGGAGGTGTAACAAGGGGAGGATGCCAGCTGGGAAGGCATGGCAGCAGGCCAGGTGAGAAACGGGATGGTCAGTGTGTGCAGATGTGAAGAGTTCAGATGACAAGGAGACAGAAACAGGACCTACTGGGAAGGTGGAATCAGAATTTAGGGACTGACTGGAAATCAGAGATGAAGATAAGAGAGAAGTCAAGAGCAGTGCTGGCTTACAGCGTAGCACTACAGGGATGAAAGTGCTATCAAATAATAGCACATGATAAGCAAGTAGTGCAGGCTTAGGAGGGAAGTCAGCTAAGGAGACCTTGTGTTATAAAAGCCAACCAGGGACCGGCACTGTGGCGCAGCTGGTAGAGCCACCACCTGCAATGCCAGCAACCCATATGCGCACCAGTTGAAGTCCTGGCTGCTCCACTTCCGATCCAGATCTCTGCTATTGCCTGGGAAAGCAGTGAAAGATGACCCAAGTGCTTAGGACCCTGCACCCACAGGGGAGACCCAGAAGAAGCTCCCTGGCTTTGGATCAGTGCTTCTCCAGCCATTGTGGCCATCTGGGGAGTGAACCAGCGGATGGAAAACCTCTCTCTCTCTGCCTCTGCCTCTCTGTAACTCTGCCTTTCAAATAATTAATAAATAAATCTTAAAAAAAGTCAACCAGGGACATTCAGTGTAGATGCTGAGATAAGGCACTTAACTAAATTTATAAATAAGTAATACAAAAACCAAAGTAAATGTATTTGAAGTCATTTTTGTTTTTAAGTTTTTATAAATATGTCCCTATCAGAATCACTAATACTTATGTAAAAGTTATAACTTTTATTCCCTTTAGTTGAAATCTGACTAAATTTTCACATTTGAAATGCTATTGTTACAAGAACAAAAGGCAAGGGTCTAATTGGAGCATTTCAGGATGGTGGGTTCAGGCTCACTCTGGCTGCAGCAAACCTGTTCCCTGGGGAAAAGATAAAGCCTGCTTTTTCTTTTTCTTGACAGGCAGAATTAGACAGTGAGAGAGAGACAGAGAGAAAGGTCTTCCTTCCGTTGGTTCACCCCCCAAGTAGTTGCTACGGCTGGCGTGCTGCCCCGATCTGAAGCCAGGAGCCAGGTACTTCTCCTGGTCTCCCATGCGGGTGCAGAGCCCAAGCACTTGGGTCATCCTCCACTGGCTTCCTGGGCCACAGCAGAGAGCTGGCCTGGAAGAAGAGCGACTGGGACAGAATCCGGTGCCCTAACCGGGACTAGAACCCGGTGTGCCGGCGCCACAGGCAGAGGATTAGCCTAGTGAGCCGTGGCGCCAGCCAAAGCCTGCTTTTTATAAAGCAACATTCAGACGAGTGTTTCATGTTCTCTTTGCTACTTAGGTGGGAGACATGGCGTTGGAGCAGAACCAGTCAACAGATTACTACTACGAGGAGAATGAGCTGAATGGCACGCACGACTACAGCCTGTACGAAGCTATCTGCATAAAGGAAGAGGTGAGACAGTTTGCAAAAGTTTTCCTCCCTGTCTTCTTCACCATCACTTTCATCACTGGACTTGCCGGCAACTCCACCGTAGTGGCCATCTATGCCTATTACAAGAAACAGCGCACCAAAACCGATGTGTACATCTTGAACTTGGCCGTGGCTGATTTACTCCTGCTGTTTACCCTACCTTTCTGGGCAGTCAATGCGGTTCACGGGTGGGTTCTAGGTAAAGTGATGTGCAAGGTGACGTCGGCCTTGTACACAGTCAACTTTGTCTCAGGAATGCAGTTCCTGGCTTGTATCAGCATCGACAGATATTGGGCAGTAACCAAAGTCCCCGGCCCAGCGGGGGCGGGAAGGCCGTGCTGGCTCATCTGTCTCTGCGTCTGGCTGGCCGCTACCTTGCTGAGCACCCCCCAGCTGGTGTTTTACACGGTCAACGACAATGCCCGCTGCATCCCCATCTTTCCCCACCAGCTGGGAACCTCGGTGAAAGCATCGGTCCAGATGCTGGAGATCTGCATCGGGTTCGTGATACCCTTTCTCATCATGGGGGTGTGTTACTTCATTACGGCAAGAACGCTCATCAAGACGCCGAACATTAAGAAATCCCGACCCCTCAAAGTTGTGCTCGCCGTGGTTCTAGTTTTCATCATAACGCAGCTGCCTTACAACGTCGTCAAGTTCTGCCAAGCCGTGGACATCATCTACTCCCTGATCACCGACTGTGACGCCAGCAAGCGCCTGGACGTCGCCATCCAGGTCACCGAGAGCATTGCGCTCTTCCACAGCTGCCTCAACCCCATCCTCTACGTCTTCATGGGCGCCTCTTTTAAAAACTACATCATGAAAGTGGCCAAGAAATACGGGTCCTGGAGAAGACAGCGACAAAACGCAGAGGAGATTCCTTTCGATTCCGAGGGCCCTACAGAGCCGACCAGTACCTTCAGCATTTAAATGTTCAGCGGCCCTGCCTCTGCCTGGACACGCACGAGTGGTGCTTCTGCCTCAGTTCACACATCTGCGGTGTTCTGAGAATCAGACTCCGTGGTTGCCGCTTATAACCAGAAAGGGGTTGGGGGAGGGGCCGGACGGGAGCCAAGAAGAGGAAAGGAGGTAATAGCTGTGCAAAGTGTGAAAATCAACACTAGCGACACAGGCAAACAGCAGTAAGGGACAGCAATAAATAAAAACGCCTGCCATGAAGAGGAAGATCCTGTGGTGATGCATAGTTCCGTGTCTTGATGGCAGTAGTGCTTACACAAATCTACACACGTGATAACATGACAGAACTACACACAGACAGACGCTGCAGCAAGTTCAACTTCCTGGTTTTGGTAATTAACCTATAATCATGTAAGATGAGAACTACAGGGAGAAACTGGGTGGAGGTTACCTGGGACCACGCTATACTTTCTTTAGAGGTTGCTATAAATTTATAATAATTTCAAAATAAAGGGAGTTTTTCAAAATAAAAAAAAGCCTGCTCTTCTGTAAGTTAGATCATCTAAAATGTATTAATGAAGATGCTTATGTTAAGAGGTATCTGTAATTATTTTTATTTTTAATGTGAGAATGATCTCCCTGCATAATTTTAATTCTTGAATAATTATGCAGTAAAACTATCTTTTTCCATTTCTTAATTTGCAAGTAATTTTTATAAAATCCCAGAAAGAATAGCAATTAATGACAACAAAGAAGTTCATAAGATTTTCTGGCCCTTTTGTTTCATCCCTGGTAAGTTTCAAGACATATAATTTGCTTCCATGATGTCAACTTATTTTTAGAATAAGGGCTTATGCTGGTAAATGTTAGATTTCTCCTGTATGATTTAGAAGCAGCCCTCAGAGGACCATATTAATCTATGGTACAATTTTTGTAACTCCTTAAAGAACTCATCTATTTGTTACTACATCACTGAGAGTTAGCTAAAAATGTATTATCCTATATATATAAAGTTTCCTATTTTTCAAACACTGCATTTTTAGAAATTCTTATTTTATTTTATTTGAAAGGCAAAAAAAGACAGATACACACACACATACACACACAAAGCAATCTTCCAGCCACTGGTTCACTCTCCAAATGCCTATTAACAGCCATGCCTTGGTCCAGGTCAAAGCCAGGAACACAGAACTCAATCCAGGTCTTCCATGTGGGAGGCAGGGGACAAAATACTTGAGCTTTCCCTTGCTGACCCTCAGGGTGAGCATCAACAGGAAACTGGATCAGAAGCAAAGGGGCTGGGACTCAAACCAGCCACCCTTCCATGGGGTCTGGATGTCTCAAACCGTGTCTTAACCAGTGTGCCAAATGCCCACCCTGAAACACTGTATTTGTAAACCGTGAAAACAGGAGCCACAATCAGTTATTTTTAATAACACACACAGCATATCTTTTAAAAAAATCCATGTAAATTATTGTTAAACATGTAAAATGCATCATTAAAACTAAACTTTGAAATTATAAAAGTCAAAAGTAGGACATGCTAAGCATTTCACCTCTCAAAACATGAAAAAGACAAAAGACATATTTTCTGCTTTTAAAATCAACATCACCTAATCAAGACATCACCAAATCAGGTAATGTTAAAATTACTTTTCCTTTGATCTACTCTTTCTAAATTTTGAAGATGATCTCAAGGGCAGAATTTAAAGAATTATGATCATGAAATTAACAACTATGTATCATAACATTGTTCTTGCATAGTATCTAGCAACAAGATCTATCTGTTGAGCGAAAAAATTGTTTGGAAAACTCACCACTGCTCCACCATTTCTTGCCGTTAATTATATAGCTATCACCATCTGGTTCAATGCTGCATTCAATATTAGTGGCATCACTAGAGGCTACATCCGGCTCTATAAATAAACAAAGGCTGAATTTACATGCTGGCCAATAGCATCAGTTAGCAAAAGAGGATTAGCAAAGGGAATGTAAACTCTTGAGGACTGAATCCTCCTTGGCTTTTTTATCTTCCTATCCTTCCCCCATTCTGCCCTGGTCCTCCCATAACCTATACATGGCAAGTATTCAGTAAATACACATTGGGAGAATGAATGAATGTAGATGAGACACCATGCTCAGTCTTCTGAACTGTTTTCTTGGCTTCTCATTGATGTATGGCTTGGGATACATCTAACTCAATCCTTTCTCCAATCACCAGAGGTAGATTAAAATACTGTTTCTGCCAGCGCCGCGGCTCACTAGGCTAATCCTCCGCCTAGTGGCGCCGGCACACCGGGTTCTAGTCCCGGTTGGGGCGCCGGATTCTGTCATGGTTGCCCCTCTTCCAGGCCAGCTCTCTGCTGTGGCCAGGGAGTGCAGTGGAGGATGGCCCAGGTGCTTGGGCCCTGCACCCCATGGGAGACCAGGAAAAGCACCTGGCTCCTGCCATCGGATCAGCGCGGTGCGCCAGCCGCAGCGCGCTGGCCACGGTGACCATTGGAGGGTGAACCAACGGCAAAAAGGAAGACCTTTCTCTCTGTCTCTCTCTCTCACTGTCCACTCTGCCTGTCAAAAAATTTAAAAAAAAAAAATACTGTTTCTACTTCCCACAGGAAAATCTGTACTGTCTTGGCATGCCCTATTTCCTCACCTCATAATTTGCTTACTATCTTAAGCAATATCTCTTACAAATTCCATCAAGAAAAGTTTCACCAATTTATATGCATTGCCTTCCTTGAAGTCTGCTCAAATTTAAGGTCTCCAAAAAGTTTTCCCTGGGACCCCTTTAAAGCAACTGTTTCTTGTGTGGCATTTCAGAACCCGCTAGCTCCATCACAGGAACCTGCCCTGGTTAACATGCCACTCTTTTAAAGGAGCCCTGCAGGGAAGCCAAGAATTCTGTTCCTAAAACTTGAGATGATTTTCTTGTCAAAGGAGGGTTCTGTACTCTACTTATTTTGTAACCCACAATGAGTGCTCTATAACACCTCATCCTGTTGGTATTCAATAAATGCCTCTTGCTGATTTAAATGAAGATTAGCTTTGTTATTATAAATGTGCACATGTAATAGAAAACAACAAAACAGGGCATTATTGAAAAACCCTTAAAAATTATGGCCAAAGGAAATCCAGTTTAATTCTAAGCTCAGTCATGAAGGAGTAACACTGGCTTTTGAGGAGCTCTTACTTCAGTGTTTCCTATGCTCAAGAGGTACCAAACCCATCTTTATTAACATGTCCCTAGTTCTGTTTTCCCACAGGATTATAATTTGAGCCATATGTCTAGCACTGCTGAAAGCTCTGTTTTTCCTGGGTTTATGGAAAAGTTGAATATTTGGTAAATACTGATACAAAATTACCACAAAGATGAATATTTGATACATACGGGCAAAGATGATCGTAACTATTCATAGATGGGAATTTTAAAAATGCAAATAAAAAGACTAAGAAACCAGGCTTACTCAGTCCCTGAAGCTAAAGCAAGACGCCAGAACACAGCATCTGGTGTCCTCTCAAAGGGGATGACCATTCTGCAAATTTTCAAATCCTAAACTTTAAAACCAGGCTCAAAACAAACATGTTTCCATATCCAGCCACGGGCAAGCCCGAAGGGCACTCAGAGCCACATACCACATTTCTGCAGCTCATCTACAGTACCCCCAGATGGTTGCCGATGCCAGGAGCAGAGGGTGGTGGGTCTTTACCTGTCATGCAGAAGGCAGAGACGATGGTCCCTTGAAGGAGAGGTTCCAGCCACTTGCGCTTCTGCTCCTCACTCCCATAGAGGTGCAGCACCTCCATGTTCCCCGTATCTACACAGAAGAAGCATGGTGTGCACATAAATATTTACCAGCAAGGAACCCACACATGTATGCACACAATACGGGCTGCATCTTCGTAAAGCAAGTGTTTGCTGACAGATTCTGAGAAATACAGAACATGCTTTATGATGACGATATGGCATCCAGTGCATGTCCATTCAACTTGTCCTGAATCACAGACTCGAACCTGTTCATCTCCATGAAGCCTGGCTCTAACGAGCCCTGGCTCACAGGGGGCTGAATTCACTCACCTAAACTTGCCTGCCATACCACAAATACCGGGTGTCCTGCTTAGAGTGGCAACAATGCTCTTGAAGAGCAGACATCACATGTCCCCCAGGGGCCCCAGTTCTCTAGTCTTTTTGCTGCTCTGCACATATACTCTGCTTTCTTATTTCTACAGCTTTGTTTGGAACAGGCCTTCTCTCCAGCGCAATTCTGTCACTCACAATTCCTGCTATGAGCCAGCTCCTCTGTGTAGAATCTCGCATTACCACCACAGAAACAACCCCTCCTCTGTTCTCATGTCAGTTACAGTCTTCTGACCCTAACATCGGGCTGTACTTTTGTGTACCCCATAGTACCTGAAAAAGTAGCAGATCCTCTCTCAGGAACCTAAAGATATAATTCCTGCCCTGGACAGAATATCCAGCCCCTCTCCAAACCTGGGAAGGTGTGGATTGGTACTGGATACAGTGTGGTGTCTAACCTCAGCTAGAAAGAATATATTGTGTCTGCTATGGAGCAAAATGCTCCAAATGTCTTTCTCTGATATATGCTCCCCTTCTTAAAAAAAAGATTTATTTCGGCCGGCGCCACGGCTCACTAGGCTAATCCTCCGCCTAGCGGCGCCGGCACACCGGGTTCTAGTCCCGGTTGGGGCGCCGGATTCTGTCATGGTTGCCCCTCTTCCAGGCCAGCCCTCTGCTGTGGCCAGGGAGTGCAGTGGAGGATGGCCCAGGTGCTTGGGCCCTGCACCCCATGGGAGACCAGGAAAAGCACCTGGCTCCTGGCTCCTGCCATCGGATCAGTGCGGTGCGCCAGCCGCAGCGCGCTGGCCGCGGCGACCATTGGAGGGTGAACCAACGGCTAAAGGAAGACCTTTCTCTCTGTCTCTCTCTCACTGTCCACTCTGCCTGTCAAAAAAAAAAAAAGATTTATTTCTATATTTTACTTGAAAGAGGGAGAGAGAGAGAGAGAGAGAGAGAGAGAGAGAGAGAGATAATCTTCCATTCACTGGTTCACTCCTCTAATGCCTACAACAGCCAGGGCTGGGCCAGGCTTAACTAGGAACCTGGAACTCCTCCCACATGGGTGGCAGGGACCCAATTACTTGAGCCATCATCTGCTGCTTCCCAGGCTGTGCATTAGCAGGAACCTGAAACCAGGAGCACAGTTGGGACTCAGACCCGGGATGCTGGCATCCTAAATGGCTATGTCTAATGCCCACCCCCAGAATTTTTATATTGCTTCTAAACAATGACTTCAAGGATAGGTAGTGAAATGCCTATGAAATTTAAGCTAAGTCTAAGTTGGGTCTTTCAGGATATGTTTGTACTCTTTTCAGACACTTGAAATGCACAAAATTCCTAGTAGATTAACACAAGCTTAACATTCAGTTTGAGAGAAAAAAGAAGCCCTAATTTATAACTTGTAAAGCTTTTTGTTTGTTTTCTTCAGTTGTCTTCAATTCAGTTGTTATAGTTAAGATA